AAGAAAGCACCCAGCTGAAGTTATTTTTGTATCTTCTTTCCTAATCTCATTTTGGTGGTAAGACTTGTAGATCGTTGGGAGAGCATGTGCTTAACGTGTACAAAGTCCTGCTGTCTGCATTTCAATAAAGGCCATTAAGGGGACACTCCTGGTCAAGAGTCTAGAATTTCTGGCCTATGGGTGGAGATCTAACAATCCAAATGGGTGGGTCAGTCACCTGGCCAAGGAACCAAACCTCAGGAAGGAGTTTCCCTAGGTAGGCAGGTTCACCCTAGGCTACGCTAGAGCAGGTGGAAAATTATCCCTTAGTGAGAGACTGCACTTCTCCTTCCAGTGTTTCTACCCGTCCTGCAGACACCACCATCTACCCCGAGGTTGTCGTGAGAGGCTCACTGGTTCTGTCCATCCTCCTGATCCTGACTCAGAAAGATGCAACCTTTTCTCTTCCTGTCCAGCAAGTTTACAGCTGGGATGCTCAGGGATTCCTTTCTCCAGCGCTCCCCTCCAGTATGGTTGTACGTCTGCCATGCGGATGGCCTCCAGGCCAGCTTAAACAGCATGGATTTTCCCTGTCCTTTTCTCCTCTCTAGATTTGCTTGCCCTGCTGCTTTTCTCTTAAACTCTACTGAAACTGTCCTTGGGCTTTCATTTGAGCCTGGTTTTTTTTTGTTTAGTTTGAAACAGGATCTCTCCAGTGTAGCCCCGAGTGTTCTAGAACTCACCATGTAGACCAGGCTGGCTCACACTCATAGAGAGGGGTTCAGCTGTTGCTGTGCCCAGCTCAGTCTGTTCTTAAATTATTTTATTAATGAGACTAAGAATCCAATCCGAGAAGGGACCCGGATTTCTCAGGTATCATTGGGTTCTATCCCTAGCCCTGAACACCAAAGCAAGTTCTCCTACATTAAATAGTGATGTGCCCTACACCTGTCCATCATTCCTCTAAAGGTCGAATTCCCTACCTCTTATCACTCTGTGGCTAAGTCTCAAGGTGTGTCTTTTTGATAAAGTTAATACAATTCCCCTCACATTGTGAGCAATCACAGAATCTGGATCTTCGGTTTGAAGTTGAAGACTTGGCAAAATTATACATGCAGCAGGCAAGAAATAAAGGAACTGTCTCACAGGGAACAGAAAAATACGTTGTGTTGTTTTAAGACTTAACTACAAAAAGAAAAAAAATTCCCACTAAATATTTTCTTGGCAAATATAAATACATTTTAGCAATGATTTAAAAACCTAGAATAACAATTAAAGCTCTCTGAAACCTAATGTACACCATTTTTAGTTACATATATATATTATTATTTTTATATATAGTCATGCATATATATCCTGCTCTTTGCTAAATGCTGTGTAGTTTCCCGTTTCCATTTTCTGTCTGATGCCATATCATGTTTTACATGGCCAAGAAAGCAATTTGCCCCTTGCTGTAAAATGAGAGACTGGAAAAAGATTAGTGGTAGAACCTCCTTAGCATGTACCCAGAGCCCTGGGTTCAAACCCCAGTTCCAGGGATGTGAAGAAGATAGTCAGGTGTGATGACCCAGGTTTATAGTCTCTGGATTTGGGAGGTAGAGGCAGGAGGGTCAGAAGATCAAGGTCATGCTGTGCTAGCCTGTGGATAGTAAGAGTCTCTCTCAAAAAACTAGCAACAAAAAGTTTTCTAGATAAAACTTCTCAAATTCACAGGTACGGTGGCCAGCAGGTGAATCTCTGAGCTGGAGGCAGTCTGGTCTGCAGTTCCAGGTCAGCCAGAGATGAGTGAGGCCACGACTCGAAACAAAACAAAAGTGTGGGGGGGGGGGGCAGCTCAGCACCTGCAAGGCAGCTCATAACATTGTTCTGTAACTCCAGTTCCAGGGGCTCTAACCCCCTCTTCTGGTGGCTGTAGGCTCTGCAGGCACTTGGTACTTCAACGTACCAACACAAAGTCAAACACAATAAAATAATGTTTGATTTTATTTTCCAAATCAATCAGATACCCCAGAAATCAGGTAGGTTTTTTTCCTTTTTTTTTTTTCAGACAAGTTCTCATAGCCAGGGTGGCCTGGTGGTACTCTACGAATGTAGCCCAGGCTGGCCTTTAACCATGGTCTTACTTTCCCCACCTTTTAGTGGTAGGGTTAACTGCAGGCCTGGAGTATTTGTTCTGTTTTTTAAAATAATGTGAATGTTTAGTTTTGCTTTTTTTTTTTTTTCTAGATAAGATGTCTTTGTGAAGCTCTTGCTTCCCTGGAGCTCCCTGGTCTGTAGACCAGGCTGGCCTTTAGACCAGGCTGGCCTTGAACTCACAGAGAGCCTCCCACTGCCTCTTGAAGGCTGGTATTAAAGGCATGCACCCCTATGCCCCATTCAAATTTATTTTTCAAATATTTATTTTTGTTGCAACAAGTTCAAGACATTTCAATCTATTTGTATTATTTTTCTTCCATACACATACACATGCACGCACATGGATATACAGGGTTGAAAAAATGGCTTGGTGTGTATGGGCATTCCCTCTTCTTCAAGAGGACCGGAGTTATTCTAGCACCCACATTCCATGGCTTAAAACTCCAGCTCTCCCCGCCTCCTCAAGCACCCCCCCCACATGTGGCATATACATACTCATGAATAACAATAAAAAACCCCAAACACAAAATGTTCACGAAACAATGACCGAAAACTGCATCTAATTCAAGCTCTTCTGACCTCAGGCACTCCACAAACACATACACGAGAAGAAAAAAAAAATCCCAAACAAAAACTTTCATCCTTAGACAGTAATGAATTCCACTTCTGTTCATTCTTTTCCCACACCCTCTTCTAAGACATTACTTTTTGTTTTTTTGAGACAAGATCTTGCCGTGTAGTGAAGTCTGGCCTGGTGCTTTCTAAAGAACCATCCTAGCACCTCGGTCTCCGAAGTGTCAGGTCGCAGGTGTGAACGCCACCAGGACAGTTCTGCTGGTAATTTGGGACAAACAACCTACTGTCAGAGTGTACTGTCAACACAGTACTGCAGAACCACTGCCAATGTATTCGAACTCAGATTAAGTTAAGGATTTACCTCGAGATCTATTTACTAACAACAGAAAAACAACAGTTGTGTTTGACAAACGCTTAGGTGTCTCACACTAGGAACAAAGAAATAATTTCTACTGAATTTTCCTTAGATACCCGGGCTCTCACGGTGAGTGACTAGCCATAAATCCTGTCTTTCTAAAAACTGAGCAGGGTAATTTTACATTCTTAAAGCAACACGACCGAGTAGTTTAAATGCAAAGAGGGCTTAAATGCTACTTTCAACTGTTCCTGACTCCCGGGAAATCCTAGAAAACTGAACTAATGAGACACAACATCTCCTTTTACAATTCCGCTTCTGTCACATTAAACTGAAGGTGAGAATCAGCTGCTGCCTCTGTTAACGCAGTCGAGGGAAGCGCTGTATCAGACGTGTTATTTAATGCGCAAGTGCAAAAGTCAAGTTCCCTACGGAAATCCAAGGGCTTCCACTTTGTCTCCCGGGAATGTATAAATTAACCATTCCCCCTCCCCTCCTCCCTCCACCCTATTTTAAATGTAGATAGGGCGACCCATGCCTTTTGAATTTGAAGAGCTGCTATCTCGGCCCCATTCTTTTCATCATCCTGTTGTGAATGACACCGAGCACGTATAGATTCTCTAATAAAAAAGCACCCCTAGGATGCTGGGCTCCTTTCTCCCGGCTGCTAGCTAATTTTGCATAGCAATTAGCACTGACTTCTTCACGGCTGCAACCCAAACACAGCTCCAGAACGTTCCTCAAAGGTCTTCGAGAACTCAACTCTGTGCCATTAGATTTCAAACCAGAAGGGGAGCAACTTGCGTAGTGACTAAATTCCCATTGGTGTGGTCTGGCAGACAGGGTAATCCCTGACTACACGTTAATTCCAACCCTCGCGGCGACTGGGTAGCTAGGAGCCAGCATGTGCGTCCTTTTCAAATCCATTCTACCTATTCACTGACCGCGCCGGCCGGGCCACATGGTCCTCTCTCGCAGCCAGTCAGCTGTGGGCAGCAGATGGGGTCATTTGCATGTCTTTTTATACATTTTTTTTCCATCGGCAAATTAAAGGAATACCAAACTATTTCTTACTCTAAATTATTGACCTAAACTACGCACACGGTTTATATGTTGACTCGGGCTTCTCTCTCACCCACCCCCACCCACCCTAAAGTTGGGAAAGCGAGGGGTCGGATTCATGTTTTATCAACTTGGAATCCACAGCCGGGGAGGCTAACAGATGGTCGGGGTACACCGAGTTGGCGCCCGAAGTTTTTTTGCTTTCCCGTGGGGCTGAATGTGTGGCGTGAGGGTCCGCGAGCGCGTGCTTCACTCCGCAGCCTCAAGTCGCACAACTTGGGCTTTCCGAGCTCGGGCTTTACCGGCGAGGGCTGCCACCCCGCCGGGGGAGTGGCCAGGGCCAGCGAGCCCCAGAGCGGGGGTCGCTCTGCAGTGTGCCCCCCAGACTCCACGCGGACTAGGGTCAGGGGAGCAGCGCGCCCCGAAGTCTTTGTGCCCGGCGGGGCGCGGGAAGGTCCGCGCGAGAGCGCAGCGCCGCC